CTCCCCCCTCCACTTCCCTCCCCCTGACGGTTTCATTTTATTTCATTTGCATTTTATATGCCACTTCCTCTCTTCCTGTCTCTCTCCCTCATCCGCCACTTTCCGGTCCTTTTTTTTTAATAGTCTGTCAGGTTTTTGGAATTATTTTGAATACCAAAATAGTTTTTTTTAACGAAGGGAACACAAATTTATCAACCCCATGAATTTTTTTTGGGTCTTTATTTACTATTGGAATCATTTTATTCATCTTTCCCGAACGGGTTTGGGCTAAGATTTTTTTGGGTTCGGTTTGAATTGCAATTCAATTCAAGGTCAAATTCTGTCTCTCAGGTTTTTGGATTAGTCATTTTGAAAACCAAAAAGGTGGATTTTTTTTTGAAACTCGAAGGGCGCAGAAATTTGTCAACCCGATGAATTTTTTGGGGTTTTTGTTGACTATTGGAATTATTTTATTCATTTTTCTGGGACGGGTTTGGGATCACAATGTTTTTGAAGTTTTTGAAGTTGAAGTTAAAGTAATAACGGCATCGGAATTTTTAATGGTTTGAATTTGATTTTAATTCAAGATTAAATGCTGTCTCTGTCCCTCTTCCGCCACTTTCCGGTTCTTTTTTTTAATAGTGTGTCAGGTTTTTGGAATTATTTTGAATAGCAAAATAGGTTTTTTTAAACGAAGGGAACACAAATCTGTCAAACCCATGGATTTTTTTGGTTTTTATTGACTATTGGAATAATTTTATTCATTTTTCTCATGCGGCTTTTGTAATAAGAATGTGGGATTTTTGAAATTAAAGTACTAGCTGCATTTGAATTTTCAGTGGTTTGAACTTCAATTAAATTCAACCTCAAATTCTGTCTCTCAGGTTTTTGGAATCATTTTGAATACCAAAATGATTGGATTTTTTTTAATTCGAAGGGAACACAAGACTTTCAACCCCACGGAATATTTTTTATTATTACTAACTCTATTGGGATTATTTTCTCTATTTCTCTGGAGTGAATATTGAGACAAAATAATCAGAAATTGTCTTAAATTACAGTACAGGAAGTATTTGAATCCTCAATGTCTAGAATTTTAACTCAACTGACGATTTAATTATCCATGAAACTTATCCATGAACGATTCAATTAATTTGCGAAGGCCATTGTTAACAACAAGTTTTTCGGTGTTTGTAGGGCGTCTTTGGGATCTTTAGGACCCTTAAGACCCTTAAGACCCCTTCAGATTCATCCCAGACCCTTCACAGACCCTCCATTACCCCTCCTGGTAACAAATATTTACGATTCAATTAATTTGCGGAGGCTTTATTCATCTTGAAAACGTAAAAAAACTGAATTTTAGTGACAACTTTAATTCTCCAATTCATTATGAAAATTTAGCATCATACATTGAATTGAATTTTCAATTAATTGAAGTTTCGGAGCGATAGTTGCCGGAATTTTTTCAATCTGCAATGATTTCCATTGTCATATAAATCTAAAAGTTGAAATTCCATCGCATATTCCCGAAATTTCAAGGACAATTTTTCACCAGTGAAATTAATAAGAGCTTTTTTGTGGCTTCTGCAATTTTTCGGGGTTAAATGTGATGCTCGGATTGAGTAAGAGCGTCGTGAAGTGATTTCTTCTCAAGGATGTGAGCCTCGATGTGTCACTCTTTCGTCCTTGCTCTCGTTGAATGTATCTGCGAACAACTCTGATTTCTAACGTCTTAATGCGGATTCCTGCAGCAAAGTGCCTTCGACAAAAATGGTTTTAGCGAGAATTTTTCACATATCTTCAAGAGAAAATACTTTTTTCATCGCTTAAATTTGTCAAGACATTTATTTTTCCTAAATTCTCTTTCACGAGAAAATACCGTTCAAAAATCGATTCTCCATTCGATTCCCATAATCACTGCAATAACCGTCTGACCAAACACGTCCCTACCTACTCCCCACCACAACCACCTCCCCTCAAAACATTAAAAAACCCCTCAACCAAAAAATCAAAATATCCCCCAAATCAAATAATCAAAACCCAAAAAAAAATCCGCAAAACCAGCAACCCCAAGCCACCCCTTTTCTCCATAAATTTTCAATTTCCCAAACAAAACCTTAATTAATTTTCCGAAAGTACCTAAACAACCCAGGAGCACTCAGCGTGTTCCCAATAAAAAATTCATCCCCACCAAAAACACCTAGACCCTCTTCCCACCCTCTCCACCTCCTCCGGCTCCAGAAAAAATGTTTACAAACACAACCAACATATAATTAATTTCTGTTATCGCTGGATATCCGCGTCTACCCCTTCCTCCCCCCTCTCCTCGCCCCTCCCCCCCCCACCTACCATGCACAATTTAAAAAATTCATAAACTTGGGAAAAACGTCCGTTGAAACAGTTTCTAGATTTCCATCCGCACAATGTTGATATCTGGGTGAGACAGGCGATGCCCTCTCCCTCTCCTTTGCTCTCCTCGTTGCTGCAATTAACCCCCGCGGTAACTGTCGTTGCGTTGGATGGACGCGAGTCTATCGGCAGAGGTTTTCACCTACAGTTGCAGGAGCAACAGAGAGAGGGTGGGAGAGGGAGAGAGGGAGCGAATAGAGTTGAGTTGCATTTACGGTTGGGTTTGGTACGCGCGATTCAATTAACTCTGCAGTAGCGCCGAAGGGATATGCCCCGGGAGGATCAAAGATCCGCGATGATCCGTTATCCTCACCCACCGCCCCCCCCTTCCCCTCCCACTTTGGAAAACCGAGTGGAGATGAGGGGCTTGTTGTCAGTGAAATTGTTGATATCGATCGACCATTTCGACGGAAGATTAATATCCGGCCAAGCTGAGGATTTGCATCATCGGTGGTGGCTCTTGCTATCCTCTCTCTCCTCGTTCCTGTCTGTCTCCTTCCCTTATTCTTACACAAACTCGGGGGGATGGACGGGATTGTATCTCGACCTCTGCCATCCCGCATAATTAACCGGAGATACTCAAAGGCATCTAATTTACCGGGGATAAAGCGTCTTTAAACCAGGATCAGTCTTTTGCGGAGGGTTTTTTTTGTGGAGTTTTTTTGTGGGAGAGTAAATATTTGAGATTTTCTTGCAGGTGAGGTAGGAATGAAGAGTGCGATTGAGATTATGGATCCGTTGTCTTGGAGTAGTTGAGTTATTTTAGCTGGCAAAATCGATGATTTCCTTTTGCGGGAATTTATGAAGTTTAAATGTTAGTACTTTTTATGGTCACAGTATAAATAATTATATCCTTCAAATGAATCTTAATTGAGAGGAAGGGTTTTTTGTGGAAGAGTAAATATTTGAGATTTTCTTTTAGTGGAGGCATGAATGAAGAGTGCGATTGAGATTATATAGATCCGTTGTTTTGGAATAGTTGAGTTATTTTAGCTGGCAATATCAATGATTTTCAATTGCAGCAAATTATGAAATTTAAATGTTAGGGCGATTTTCTAGTTACAGTATCAATAATTACACCCTTTAAATCAATCTTAATCAAGAGGGAATAGAGATTGATTATTCAGATTGATTATTGGTACAATATTGATACGCATAATTAACCGGAGATACTCAAAGGCATCTAATTCACCAGAGATGAAGCGTCTTTAAACCAGGATCAGTTTTTTGCGGAGGATTTTTTTCTGGAGTTTTTTTTTTTGTGGCAGAGTAAATATTTGAGATTTTTTTTAAATTTTATTTTTAAATTTCTTATTCTCCAGAGGGAAGAATTTCGAGTAATTTTTTAATGAAGATAATTCTTGAGGGAGGGGGGTGGGGTTCATTCAAGGTCATAATTACCAAGATCATTTTCTAGAGCAACATAACTGTCATAATCGAAATCTAATGACCATTGCCTGGAAATAACTCGGCTGGCGAAATAGGGCGTTAAATAAATGAATACTTCTGAAGTGTAAAGTGTGAAGTGACTCGTAGAATCACATGCGACACATTTTGTCAATTTACTAAATTAGTAGCGTATTTTCAGGATCGACAAGCGCGCGATATTCGAATCACTTCAACTCATTTTTGTTGATAGGTGCGGGATTAATTATTCGGAGGTTTTGTGTAATTTTTTACGTGTTGGCGGAAGAATATGCACAGAGAATTCACTTTCTACAAAAATAATCTGACATTTATCCGCAAATCAGCTCAATTTTAAAATAATGTTATAATTACCAGAATCTTCATATGTCAATAAAAATCATAAAATTTGGATCATCTCGATAGCAACGCTCCAACGAATTATGTAGAGTTTTCTCTGTAGAGGATTCAATTCTTTCTAGACGTGATGTTTTCCACGTGAAACCCATGGATTTCTATTCCCCGAACCAACTCGTTCTCTAGAAATCTTTTCCATAGAAATTCCTTGACATAAATTTCTTCCCAGATACTTAGAAAATTTATGCCGACGAATTTCTACAGAAAAACCTCAACAGATGTGTCCCAAAAAAAAACAAAACCTATTGAACCTGTAGTGAAAGTCTTCGGACTTTTCTGAAGAAATCAGCAAAAAACTGATAGAAAAATTCTTACATAGTCAAATCCGAAATTTCCAATTTTTTGTGTTAGGATAACTAATTTCGGCCTCAGAAGTTTCAAGACCCTTTTTTTAAACCGATCGTTTTTCGATAACTAAAAAATAATTGTTCAAATAATTCCAATAGTGATTTAAAATATTCTTCCCCACGTCATCTTGACCGAGTTCGATCGCGAGATTGACTCCCTCATCTGTTGAAAAAATTTATTTTAAAACCAATATTCAAGGACGTAAAAAAATCTGACCTTGGAGCAATGTTGGTTGCCAACGTTGGGTCACTATTGAATTCAATTTCAACTAAATCGTCATAGAAATTTCATTCGGAAGAAAATTGCTCATTTATCATAAAAATATATTGACTATGTCGCGACGGGAGCAATTTCCAATTTTTTTTCCATTCACAATTTACGATAAAATCAGATCTAAAAACATCCCGAGAATCTCCGCACCCCCATTCATTAATAAACATTACCAGTGAGCAGCATCTCTGTGCAGACGACGAGAGCCACCGCCCCGAGAACTCTCATCCTCATCCCGCTCATCCTCAGGTCCTCCCTGGGGTCCTCATGCTTCGTCCGAAGAAAATTCCGAAACCCCACAATCAAGAGCAAGAACTCTCCCCTGTAAGAGTGAACTCCCCACCGAGCCCAGCACGAGGGGCCGGTATGAATCACAATAAATCCACCAGCGGTATCACCAGTGTTGTTAAAAACGCGTGGCTATCCTCACGTTGGAACGAGAAAGACTGAGCATAGTGTGGTCGATGGAGAGGCACGATTCCCTTGCCATTCCAATCCACCAGGCACGACTCGAGTGTCTTTTCGTACCGGCCTATCCCCTCCTACCCCACCTCTGAATGGTGTTGTTTTTTTCTTCACTTGAGTATTTCCACTCGCTGTCGTCTTGCGAGAGGCCATCCCGAGAGAAGGATGAAGAGGCTGCTGTCCTCGTTTTTACTCCTCCGAGGCCTCTCACCTCTCTCGAGAGCCTTATTCATGCAATACAACAGAACTGAACAGAACAGGCCTATGATTTTCCTCTCTCCTTTCGGTTTAATGAATTAAATTCAATGCGGCGCTTCTCATCTTTCTTATGCCTTTGTTTGGGGCTTTTTTGTTCGTGATTTCAGAGAGTTGCTGAGGCCCTCAAGGTACCTGATGAGCCGGAGAGCGTCGCTAACATTGAGGCGGAGATCAACCAGCATTTCTTGCATCTTCATGGTGTCCTTCAGAATATTGAAGGGAAAATGATTGAGACACTTCGCGCGCAAATGCATCGACAGGAGAGGAATCTGCAGGAGATTGACGAGCAGCTTGAGAGAATCGAGAAGAATCTCGAGGCTGGGGTTTTGGTGGGTTTTATTCTGTTAGTTTTGGGGTGGGGTAAACATGTGTTGAACAGAGTTAGGAGGAGAAGACTTATGAAATTTGAAGTTGCAGCCGAAATTTCCGTGAATCTCCCAATTGGGCTGAATTTTCATGGACTAGTTGAGCTCAAATTTTGAATTTTTATTAATTTTTTTATTTTTCGAAGGACGAAACTTTCTGAAATTTTTATGGAAATGTCACTTATTGAAAAGTGGCACTTGTAGTTTGGAATGGAATTGATATTAATGATGGAATGATGAGGAAGTTCGATAATTTGGAGGATTATTAAGAAAATATGGAAATATATTTCTTCAATAAAAATTCAGAAATCCTCACATTTTAAAACAAGTCAGTGATTTAAAAAAAAGTCAGATCTAGGAGGAGAAGACTTATGAAATTTCAAGTTGCAGCTGAAATTTCAGTGAATCTCCCAATTGGGCGGAATTTTTAATGCTTTGAAAATTTGAAAAATATATTCACATGAATTTTTATAATCCTCACTGAACAGTTGAACTAAAATTCAGAGTTATCACTAATTCTCCCATTTTTTGTATCACGAAATTTTCTGAAAGTTCTGTGGAAATGGCACTTATTGAAAATTTTTGATTGTAGTTTGGAATGGAATTGATATTAATGAAGGAATGATGACGAATTTCGAGAGTCTGAAGGCGTATTGAGAGAATCCTTGAAGGATTAGTGAATTCAGAGGAAAATATCGAAAAATATTTCTTGCAGAGCACGCAGTGTCCCTACATCACACGTCCAGAAATTTAGTTTATTAATGAGAATTTTATTCAAATGTAGATTTCGATAAATTTGGAGTGAATGTTTGTTAATTACGGAATTATGTCGAAAACTGAAGGTTGCGAGTGTCTTGGTCATTAGTTCCTAATATCATTCGCTGTCAGGATGACGAGCGAATTGAAAGGCAATTGAGAAGAGTTTCAATTTCAATATAATATGATTTCTCCGTCATGTTTATTAGTCATGTCATTATCCCATCGATAATCAATTTCACTAAAGAATGACAAGAGATTTTCTGCAAGCCTTTGAATTTTTTACAAAAATGATCTTTTGATCAACAAAAAGTAAAATGTCTACTAATAGTTTTTTAATTTCACAATCTCCAGACAATTTATAATTTCACTAAATAATTTTCATAAATTCTTTCTGAAGAGCGAAATAACTTAAATAGATTGAATTAAATCAATTAAACTAAATTAATTCGTTAGAATAAATCAAATGTCAATCTCAATGAATTTTCGAGCCGTTAGGAAATATTTTCGAAAAGTGAAAAAAATAGAAAGTATCCATTTTGAGAAAGATTCATGAAGTAGTTATGAAATTCCTATTTCTGAAGACTACGTCCTTCCAAATAATTCCTGAAAAATCAGCTTCTTTCTCCAAGAATCATCCGATAACAATTTCACACCAGAAAAAGCAGTTGGCAAAATTTACATTATTTATTTCTGAAATAGAAAAAAAATTTGAAGAAATGAATAGTAATCATAATGAATAGGTAAGAAAAAATAATTAAATGCATAGGAGTCGTCTTTGTAATTTTTAGACTATGTAATATAAAGTAAGATTGTTGTTCGTATGTTCATATTCGATGCAGCTCATTATTAGATAGTATGACTGTTCTTCTCTGCACTATTATTTTGTTCTATTTTTGCATTGATGCTTTCTCCTCTATGTAAGGCCATACTGTTAGAAAAAAAAATTAAATTTCAACGATAGTTGACTACGAATTTTGAGGACAGTGACACTGAATGCGTTTTAGGGGGAAAAAACATGGAAAGTTCAGGTTTCACTGAAAATTCTGTGAAATTCCAAAATTTTAAGCAGCATAAAGAGGAGAATTCTTCAATTCATTAGAATTTGCAATTTAATATGAATATTCGGTGCCAAATTATATGGAACTTTCAGTAAAATCTGAAATTTCATGATTTTTCCCCCCTAAATCGCATTGAGTGCTACTGTCCTGAAAATTCCAGAATATATTTACCGGAATGTTCTGGTTTTCCCTTCATTTTTAGGGAAAATGGAACTAAAATTTACAGTGCTCTTTGATGTTTCCACGAAGTTCTGAATTTTCAATAATGTAATTTCTTGAAATTTCAGTGATAATTAAATTCGATAAAAATTTTAAACAGTGTAGTAACCTACAGTGTGTTTAATAAATTGCAAACTGTTACTTCAGGGTTTAATACGAACATTTGACATTATTCTGGAATTTCAGGTGGCCACCTCAGTGGAGCAGCATTTCGACCATGTGCATCTATTCGAAGTAATTCATAAACTGGTCTCCCTTGCAGAGAGTCCATGTCACTTTGTGCATGACCAGACGAAGCCCACATCGGAGACCATCAAGTGAGTTGTTTCAATTCTTATCATCTCCTTCTCATTATTTATCACCGAGTTTTCATTTTTATTTCCATTATGTGGAACAAGGAGATTCTTGTTGCCGTACCTCTGGAAAGGGGAGACAGTCCTCCGAGGTGAAGGTGATAAAGTTGAAGGTGGTTTTCCATTCGATATATGAGTTAGTGACCATTTGCGAAGAACTTGAATTCTATTTTCGAAATAGTAGATGTTTACTGTTTACTTAAAAAAAGATTGAGTCGTTTCCTCACTCTCTTTTTTGACTTATTGAGGTGACTGTCCCTTCACCTTCTTAATTATTATTCGCTCCCGTGAAAAAATCAAATGAGTAATATTATTTTATTGACAATAATTCAAAAGTAAGTATCGGTTGTTAAATCGTAATAATCAATTAGTATTCTCTGTTTCTCGTTGGTCTTTTCAAAGTTGTTTGAGTCAACAAAATACTTTTCTGATGATCATCCGACTGGTAGCTTTATAATCGTTCAAATTCAAGTTTCGTATTTTTTGCGTTATATCGACCCATTATGATCCAAAAAGTTTGAAAATTCAATTTTCAAACCGCGTCCGTGAGTATGTGTCTGACAAGGGTTTTCTTCAATTGTTCGCTGACGTATAGATGGAATTGAATTATTTCTTTTTCTCAAATGTAGGTATTTGTTGAGCCCTATCCATTGAAATTAATTAAATTTCAATTAATTCAATATTCTTTTTAAACTTTGAATTTTTACAATAATCGGTTGTCCCGCGAAAAAAATTGTTTGGAAGTCCTTTTGACTGAGTTCAAAGATGAAGACGATAGCAACAATCGTTGTTGCGATTTATATAAGAATTTTCAAAATTTTTGCATTTTTTGAAAATATGAATTCCGGAGATGTCTTGAGATATTATGCAATAAATGAATTCAATTATAGGTTCAATGCCACACTTTCGAAGTCAAACGATAATTACGATCGCTATATCTGTTGATTTTATTTTTACAATAATTTTTCAATTCCGAATTTTTCATTATATATTAATTATCATCGACAACAACGGCCTAAACGTGGCTTATATAGACGACAAACCTGTGGAATGCAGAGCCGATAAACACGCCAATTTTAGTAACTAGGAAACCGTTGAACGAAAATATAATCACCGAAACGTGAATAGGAAATGCAGCTACTGGAGTAAATGCCACGTTGTTAGAACGAGAATTTCAGTCCGTGAAGCAACAAAGGGGTGAGGGGAGTGATAGAACCGCAAAACAGACAATCGGTTGTACAAAAGAAAGCGATAATAAGAATAATGATAATGGTAACACTCAACTAAGTTGAAAATCTGACACAATCGTTAAAAAATAAATCTCATTCAATTTAATAACATAAAACTAATTTTCTAAGTTTTTTTCACTCTATTTTTCTTTTCTTCTCATCAAGAAAATCAAACGAAAAACATAGAAAATTTGAGCCGAGGAAATTCTATAGAAAATATCTCAGTAAAATAAGTTATACAGAAAAATTGGATTCTATTGACTTTTTCTACTGAATATTTTCTGTTGAACATTTTAATAGAATCGGCCAAAAACTAATAGAACAGCTAACGAGTTGGATTTTTCTATTAAATTTTTTCGTCCGGGAGCGAGATAAATCATTTTTGCGGATGTACCTATTGCCTAAATCTTCCCAAACATCTCTTCCAGATTTCACTCGAAGTTGCTGGACATAGTCCCCTGCCTGGAGAAACACTGTCGCCTCGAGGTGGAGGCGATGCCCTCCTCAGTTCACCTCCTCCCCCGCACATTCCTCCCCGTCGAATCCCTCCCAGACGTATCCCCTGATTTGGCCTCGATTCCTGCCCTCTTCGAGAACGACAAATTCCATGAGAAAATAGCCTCCCAGTCCTTCACCTCCCTGTCCTCGCTGGCGTCCTCCGGCACCCCTCCCTCAACCGAGACCGAGACAATCCGTCCTGCACACACGTCAATTCCCCTCTTTCCGGACAGCTCTAAACGAATGAACTACTTCGACGTCTACATCACCCACATCGACTCTCCCTCGAGCTTCTACATTCGATACGCGGCAGAAGGAAGCAAATGGGCGACTGTCCAGGAGAAACTGAAGACCTATGATTACGCTGTGATACCTCACGATATAAAACTTCGGAAGGTTTGTTGTGAAATCAATAGCGCAGCGGCAAATTGATGCAAGTCGACTTAATTCTTAGCTGAGTTTACTTGATATATCTCTCAATTTAGGGGAGATAGCGACATTTTCATAATTATCTTTTTTGTAGATCACAATTTGCTCCACAAAAGAGGTTCTGACGAAAAATTTTGTATTTGCCTTAGATTCCGAGATATTCATTGAAAACTAACAGCAGTCAAAATCAACTTAAACCGTTTTACCGCTTCGTTACTGGCATTTTTATGTTGAAATTAAGAATATTACATCAGTCTGGATGAATAACGAAAATGGGGAATTTAACGACAGATTGAGACAGTAATACTGATAAAGTTAATGATTAATGACCACAGGAATTGCGATTGCTAATTGAAATATTCTCAATGAATAAATTAACCCCATGAATAGTTATCGTAACCACAACGGCTTCAAATAAATAACGAAAAATATAATTTATCATGAAAAAATTATTTTATTAAAAAATGTTGAGCAATTCAATTCAGGAGTCAATTTGGTCACAATGAATTATCGTATATTGTTAAAAAATTAATCCAATACTGTTTTCCAAGATTTTATAAATCGCGACCCAAAAATAGAAAACATCGATTAAATGAATTACCCACATTAGAGTTTGTCAAATCAATTTATCCGAAGAATATAGGTAATTTAATTATCAGAAGAAATATAATCTCGAGGATTTTTAAAATATGCACAAAATGCTCAGTTCTCATGTAAAATTGTACTATTTGTCAAAAATTATAATTGAATTTGTGTTTATGGCTGTCAACATTAGGTCGTGTTGAATTCAATGAATCATTGAATTCAATGTAAAATATATCGTCATAGAAATTTCTGAATTTCTGAATTGCTGAATTTATTAATTCATTCATTAATTCATTAATTCATTAGCAAAAATATATTGATTAGTGTGAATAAATTTTTAAAAAAATCCCACAGAATTACGCTGTCAAGAGTGCGGATACTTGGCTGAGGGCATCAGTAATCGGAGTTGTTCCTGATCACGAGAAGAATTTAAAGACCTACGACGTGCACTTCATCGATGTTGGAGCGCAAGAAAGGGGAGTTATTCGAGAGAACATCAGGGAACTTGAGGATTCCCTCAGCGAGATTGAACCCCTAGCCAAGAATTACTCTCTCTACGACATCAAGCCCAAGGGCAAGGCCACCTGGGAGCCGGAGGCTCGTGCGGCCATGCTGGAGGTGGTCCAGTATTCAGAGGGGGAGACCCTGACCATGAGGACGTACGAGGAAAGCAGTAATGGGATCGATGTGCTCTGCCCCAACAAGAAGAAGTGGTACGCCCAGTCCATTCGCGATCACCTCATCTTTCTCGGTTTCGGGGCGTACTCCACCCACGAGAGACTCTACAGCATCAACCCAGAGTCAGTGGCTGCACTGCATCATGATAGGTTCGAGCAGGACACTTTCACACATGTCGTTTTGACAGAATTTTTCAATCCTGACGCAACTCCGAACTGCATGTATGTGAGGAAGGGCAGTTATATGGAGTCGACTTTCAACAAGATGATGGACGACCTGCAGAGGGATTATGACAGGAATAAACATACCAGGGGAAAGGTTTACACTCCTGAGATTGGTAAGGGTAGAAACGTTAACTAATCTCCATTGCAGTCTTTACAGGGATCGACGACAACAATTAACTTTAGTGATATTTGGGTTGAAACTTCAAAATTATAAAATAATTGATAATTTAAATCTTCAATTGACTGTGAATTGAATAGTTGAAGATGTGGGACTAAAAATCTATTCATATTCAGATTTTGACTAGAAATCGGTTTCATGTCTGAATGAAGAAGGTTTTTGAAAGTTTAAGCAATTTCAATGATTTATCTATAGACAACGAATGCTTAAAAAAATAATTGTGTGGAAAATGTAATTTGAATGACTGTGAATATTCATTATTTTTTTCAAAGTTTTCTCACGCAATTTAAATGATAAATGTGATGATTGAAAATGGTTAAATCTATAGTGTGGCTTGTACCAAACTGTAAACAATGCTTGAGTATCCTCAAAGGATTCCGTTATAGATTGATAAATTCCGAATGCAGTGAATTTTTTGTAGAATTTCATAGACCATGGTTTCTGCGATATTCAACTTTAAAAAATGGCAATTTCGTGAAATCATTTCTCAATTTATTCAAGCAGTTAATTAATAAATAATCTTATTTTATTCAAACAGTTATTGTTGCCTTCAGCAACAACATATGAGGATAGAAACATTGAATAACTTATGAGAAGTCAATAAATTAAGTAATTTAGATTTTTTTCCGGAAGTCCATGAGAACATTTCAGTGGTATTACATTGGGATATACCTTTATAAAACTGAAAAGTGGTTAAATTTCAAAACTCTGCATTTGCAGCTGAGAAAATTTTCCTCAAAAATGATCTTTTGTGAATTATTCCCAAGACCGCGGTAACTCGTCTCCGAAACGATTACACGTCTAACAAAAGCGCGAAATGATTAAATCATTAAATTTCTTAAACAAAAATTGATATTAATCAAATAAAATTAATATTAAAATAACTAAAATCAACCCTTTCCTCCTAAAAACAATCTCTTTACCCCCCAAAAAATGCAATCAATTAATTAATTAATTATAAAATCAATAAACGACTTAACCTACACCCCCAAGCCCTTTATTTCCTTGCACTCAGGTCTCATCTGTGCTGCCCGTTCCTCATCGAAGAAGTGGTACCGTGCAGTGGTAGTGGGAACCCCAGGCAATCAAAACGTCCAAGTCCTCTACGTGGACTACGGTTTCACAGAAACCATCAAATACAGCTCGCTGCGTCAATTGGACACCGTTTACATGAAGGCTGCCACCAGAGTAAGTACCCTCCCCCGTCCCCGTCGCCGCCTCCACCCCACCACCCCCTACCGCAGTTG